ATATATTGCCGCTTACCAGGGGCGGACTGACAACTCATGGGGCCCCCGGGCAATAGGGGATCATGGGACCCCTGTGTCCTCACCCACACCCAAAAAAGCCTATGAAAAAGCCAATGAAAAGGTACCAGGGGCATCTCATGGGGGCCCCTACTGACCCCAGGCCCTTGGGCAGTGCCCGAGTGCTCAAATGGTCAGTCCGCCATTGCCGCTTACCAGTCCTTAGAAGTGGTGGCAGCATTTGTTTTTTTCCTTTTCAGGTTTTTTCTTTTTTTACTTTCACTTGTGTCCCTGCCTGTAACACACTTCCTGTCCTAGGGTGACAACGCTTAGTCACCATACCATGGAGAGGAACAGCATTGTCACCTTAGGACAGAAAAGCGATACAAAACACATTCCCCTCTCTTTATTTGCATAACATAGGGGGGATGTTCTGTAGTTCATGGAACTAAGATCAATCCTAATGATAACAGTCCACAAAGGCAGAGAGCACAGGAAGTTATCAGATTTTATGATTTAAGGCAGGATCAAGAAATCTGTATATATATATATATATATATATATATATGCTGTAAATAATCCTGCTGTAAATCATAGTGCTCAAAAATTTGCATACCCTTGGAGAACTGGTGATATACTGTACAATTTTTTAAAGAAACATGAGTGACCAGACAAGATATTTGGATTCATATTCAACTGTAGGTTATAAAAGACTAACACAATCATAAAGTAAACAAATGAAATGACCCCAGTTCAAAAGTCATACCCTTAGTTCTTAATACTGTGTACTGCCCCTTTTAGTATCAATGACAGTGTACAGACGTTTATAATAGTTGTCTATGAGGCCTCAAATTCTTAAAGGTAATATAGATGCCCATGCCTCAAGGTCAAGCAAAGTCTTTGGTCATCTTGCATGAACCACAAGTTTGAGATCTTCCCTGAGTGGCTCGATGATATTAAGGCCAGGAGATGGTGATGGCCACTCCAGAGCCCTCATATTTTTCTGCTGTAACCACTGGAGGGTCACATTTGCCTTGTGCTTAGGGACATTGTAGTGCTGGAATGTCCAAGAACATCCCTTTGGCAACTTTCATGCAGAAGAATCAAATTGTCTGCCAGTGCTTTCTGATGACATGCTGCATTCATATTGCCATCGATTTTCATAAGATTCTATGTGCCTTTAGAGCTCACAAACCCCTAAAACATCGGTGAACCACCACCATGCTTCACAGTGGGGATGGTATTCTTGTCGCTATAGGCCTTGTTGACCCACTCTCTAAACATAGCGCTTATGATTGTGATCATAAAGCTCTATTTTGGTCTTGTCTCTCTGGACTTTTCCACTTCTTAATAAGTGATTGAACAGTACTGACTGGCATATTCAAAGCTTTGGATATCTTGTCATATATTTTCCATACAGTATTTATAAAGTTCCATTACCTTATTACTCAGGTCTTTTGACAGTTTTTTTTTTCTGCTCTCCATGGCTCAGTATCTAGCCTGCTCAGTGCATCCATGTGAGAGCTAACAAACTCCTTGACTATATACAGACACTAATTGCAAAGTAAAAAGACGCAGATGTTGGAAATGAACCTTTAATTGCTATTTTAACTAGTGTGTCTGTACCAAAGCCAAACATTCCACAGTATGTAAACTTTTGATCAGGGCCATTTGGATGATTTCTGTTATGAGCCAAACTACTATGTGATCCTAAACGGCTTCATATGACTGCTATCCTTTAATAAGACTGTTTTTTGGCATGGTCAATCCTATTTTCAATATCAAAGCTAAATTTTCATGATTTCTGCCAGGGTATGCAACTTTTTTAGCACAACTGTGTGTGCATGTGTGTGTGTATGCTGCTCCAAACATGTATGCAAAGTCCTCATTCACACTTTACAGGCTTCAGCGCCCAAATAAATTAAGTCTTACAGTTCAGCGCCCAGCACTGATCATACATGAGTGCTATGTAGTTTACAAAACCTAATCCTAGTATCTTATCAGTGTTCTGTGCTATTGCAATACACCTACAGTTCATCCAGCTGATACCTACACATGCCCTGGACTGTGTCATAGAGCCTATTAACAGCAGCAGAACTACCGGTATGTCCAGAAAGAGAGGAGTGGAAATCTTTCAGGTGATAAGCACTCATCGGGGTATCTCCTTTGTGCGGGAAGTCATACCCTCTCCTGCATGCCCAGGGCACTTGGCGTATGCACAGGCAGATTACAGTAGGCCTGGCAGCCATCCCAGTGTAGCTGGCCCTGTCAATATTTGACTTTCCCAGACCTTTAAACATTGATTAACAGTGTTGATCTGGGACAGTTATCAGAGGAAAGCCTGAGGCATACCTTCAGCAAGATACTAAAGCCAATTAAAGGGAAAATATAGCTCTGCAATCAGTGAATGTCCTTTTTCCTACAATCTGAGGCAAAAAACAACACCACAAAGCTATTTTTGTCAGTTCCCTAGATTCAGCTTTAAAGGCATTGTATGCTTATATTTGCATTGCTTTCACTAGGTATTAGTGTGTAGTCTATGTGTATTTGCTATGTTATTTGATTGCCCTACCTTGCAATGATGGGCTCACATGCTGTGGCTACAGTGGCTGATCATTCCATGTATTGCTGCAGCTGCCTATCGATATTTGCTGTAGGGACAAGAAACTTATTGTATGAGTCAGCATTCAATGGGTTCTGCCCTCACCACACATTTCCTTGTGTGTAACTCAACATGCAACTAATTCCTCCTATTCCGCAATAAACCAGACTGAATGTTATCTTGAAGTTTAATAACAAAACCGAGTGGGTGAAACTATTTGGATAAACAGATAAGAAATACATACAATGTATGAAACATATAGAAAACACATTTAAATAACTAGGCTGCAGATGGCAATAAATCTATGCTCACCAGCAATGCTGCCTGTAGGGGATGTAAGTTTAGTCCACACAATATATACTGCAGGTATGATGGCTGGCCTCCCCTCCCTCAGTTCTCATGATGGAGACTATTCTCTCAGGATGCACCTGTTTCCTTTTCATAAAATGAAGCATTATGGGAATTTTATGAAAGATAAAACAGTCTTTGGCTTCTGCAAAACAGTACATTTATTCCAGGCATCATCTAGTGGCCAAATGTAATATTGCAAGGAGGACAGGCTTGATGAATTTCCCTGCTAGGGGCAGAACACAACACATGACTACTCTGTTGTATCACAAATGTCAGGTTGCAAATGATATGAAACACTGCATGGTGTGCTTGCTGTTAATTGGTCTGTCTGTGTCAGATCTAATTTTTTTTCTGCTTTTGTTAGTGTAGCAAAAACGTTCCAAGCTTTTACTGCTTTCTGTGGTCCTAAGTAGGTAGCTTTTCCTCACTTTCCTTCCCAGTGATGACTGGACAGAAATAGTAGATATAGATTTAAGAGGAACACGGATCGGATTCAATCACTTTTTTAGTACAGCAGGGGAAGGCTAGAACCCATGTTGGGTTTGTTGCTGTGTTTCCCTGTTGGAGATATTCCCTCACCACCTGTCTTGTTGGAGGTATTATTACTAAGACAGAAAGTGAAGGGGATTAATTAAAGAATGTTTACCAGTACAAAAAACTTTTATAACACAGCTAGTCACAGTTTAAATAACATCTGATAATGCTCAAAGCATATTTAGGATGAACAACAAATTTATCCAAGCTCATACCAGTTGTATAAAAATGCAATAATATCCATGAGAAGGGATAATCCCTTTATTTATGTGATTTGTGATGGAATGAGGCATGTGAATATCTTCACATGCCACACAAGAAGGCTACACTGAGCTACACAATAATTCCAATGGAGGCTTTTATGATTTCCTGTGGTTAACATGAAAATAATAAAGGGTCTTGCGTGTGGCCCCCCAACACATTCAGAAGATCACCGAATAGCAAAGTGTTTTTGTGCATTAGATAACTCCACCTGTCAGTGCTGCCTATTACAGTGATGGGTTCTGTATCACAGAAATGGCTTCAATGCCCATCATCCTGCTGCCACTCAGCAAGGTGTACAGGTGGTGGACCCAGCCCAGCACATGGTGGACCTTATGTTGGGCACCACTGCTTTATTTCCTTCTTACCACAACCTGTATGGTAATACTGCCTCGTTGGGTCCCAAACCCTACTTCCCAGGGTTTCCACACACTGCACTGGTGACAGTCAGAAAACCTGAAACAGCTGTATTCAGTTTTGGAATTAATGTAATTAGGCTATATATTTGCACTATATGCTATATTTGCATTTGGCCTTTGAGGCATTAGTAAAGATTTGCATGGCTCTGTTATTTAGGACATGTGGTAGAATAAGACAGGACTAATGTTTCAGGAAGGCTTAACTGTACTACATAAAGAGTATTCTTCAATGAGTACCTAGCTGTATAGCTAGTCAAGTTGAAAAAAGACACAAGTCCTTATAGTTCAACCATTAAAATTGAATCTTCTGTAAAGTCATGCCAGCATTTGCAGTTGCAAAAGGAATGGCTGATCACATATGGATGGATGGATGGACAGATAGACTGTCTTTGCAAACAGAGAACACTCCCTTTATATCCAGTCAAAATAGTGTCAAGAGGAATGTAAGACTCATCCTACATGTCTCCATGCAAGGGAGTCAGGGAAGCTCTTGATGCACAACCAACCTCTAGTATAAATGGACCCTTATTTCCCAAAGAACCCTAGAGCAGAGGGCCCTAAACAGTACTCTAAAAAGTTCCAGGCAGGCTAACGAACATGCCATGGCCATCAACTTCCTATGACTGGGAAAAATACCAACCATTGGTGCCATTATGAGCCCTGATTTCTCCATACCACTTACACTTACCACTATTTTGTTTCTGATCAGATTCATAAGCTTCTGCTAAACTGAACTTACAAGATACCTTCTACCAATGTGCGTGCAAGATGGGTACACTTCATGTGTTGCATAATACAAACCATTTTAACATCAATGTATTATCCTATTGCAACAGGTTCAGGGATTTCTTCGTATGTTGATGATCCAGCCCAAGCCGGAGAGGTGTTAAAGTCCTGCATGGATGAGGCGCTCTCTCTCATCCCCTCACAACAACACAAGGAGACTACAGTGTTACTGGGAGCGACAGCGGGTATGAGGTTACTGAGGTGAGTCTGGCTTTTCTGTAGGATATGACATAAAGTTGCACTGCATAGATGGCAACAATGGTTGAAGCAGAATCCTGGAGCATTTGGAAAATGACTCCAAGTGTCACTGATGTCTAATTAGATGCTGCTCACTTGTGGTTGATTACATCAAGTCTGTGCACATTTGGGTAATACTAAAGTGTAACTTCTTTTTTGTTGTGGACAGAGTGGGGGGGGGGGGGGTGGATAGGTTTAGACTCATATCTCATGTTTTTTGCTGTCTATAGCTCTATATTTTTTTAGGATCATTGGGAAGGTAGTAGGAGCCTACTTCCTAAGCTGTGGTGTTAGCTTCTTGGGTGACCAATTATATTCAAACTTCTAGACAAATTTGAATATCATTGGTGGCTGTGAGAATCACTTCAGTACAGGCATTTTTATATCAGGTTTTCTGTGTAAGAGCGTGTTCCACTAAAACCAGCAGATGTGTTTCAGGGTCACCAGATTATTGACAGAAGACAGCAGGGTGGACTGGTACCATGCATCTGTCATTGTCATAGCACTTTATTTTGGGGACAAACACAGTCCTTTTTTTTGGGACATCAGACAATGAGCCAGAGGCAATGGGGAAAGAATAATCTAATAATATCTGGAAAAACAAATTAAGTGATAACATTCTTAGATGTTTATATAAAGGTTAAAGAGAAGCCAGGAAGGCACACATAGACAAATAGGAAATCTTTAAATATGAACTCATGAAAGACCTAAAGTGGATCTTTCAATAACTTTAGAAGTTAGGGACCTTAAATTGTACGCTCCTTGAGACATGTGAATGTACAATATATATATATATATACAGTATCTCACAGATACTCACAAAGTATCTTCTTTGCCATGAGGTGCCATGTTGAATTCCAGTGACCAGTATGAGAGAGTGAGAGTGATAACACCAAATTTTACACACCTGCTCCCCATACACACCTGAGACCTTGTAACACTAACGAGTCGCATGACACCGGGGAGAGAAAATGGCTAATTGGGCCCAGTTTGGACATTGTCACTTAGGGGTGTACTCACTTTTGTTGCCAGTGGTTTAGACATTAATGGCTGTGTGTTGAGTTATTTTGAGGGGACAGCAAATTTATACTATTATACAAGCTGTACACTCACTACTTTACATTGTAGCAAAGTGTTCTTTCTTCAGTGTTGTCACATGAAAAGATAGAATAAAATATTTACAAAAATGTGAGGGGTGTACTGTACATGTAAGGCGCTGCGTGAATTGATGGCGCTATATAAGTACCTGTAATAAATAAAAATAAATAATAATAATATATTAAATATCTCTGTTTTCATCAGTATATGTTTGTAAAAAAAAAAAAAAAGTACCTTTTTATCATGACAAAGCCATCCTTGAGCTCTACACTGGTGACTGTTGCCTATGCTGAGACAAAATCAGTTTGCTGCAGACAAGGGGATCATTTCCACAGTCTCTTTTCTGCAGTGACTAGAGTGAACATTGTTTGTAGCAAGTCTGGTCAAAAAGACACTGTCCTTCTTTCCCCCTCCTTAACCCCCCCCACAAATAATTATTATTATTATTATACAGGATTTATATAGCGCCAACAGTTTGCGCAGCGCTTTACAATATAAGGGAGATAGTACAATTACAATACATTTCAATACAGAAGGAATAGGAGGGCCCTGCTCGTGGAGCTTACAATCTAAAGGAAGGGGGAGGTGATACAAAAGGTGATAGCTGTGAGGGATGATCTGGCGGATGTGATTCAAGTACAGTTCTTAGGTGGAGGTGGAGGTGGAGGTGGGTAGGTAGGCTTCCCTGAAGAAGTGAGTTTTCAAAGATCGTCTAAAGGCAGACAGGGTGGTGGCTGACCGGACATGCTGTGGTAGGGAGTTCCAGAGGATGGGAGAGGTTCTGGAGAAGTCCTGGAGGCGAGTGTGGGAGGGGGTGATGAGGGAGCTAGAGAGGAAGATATCATGGGAGGAGCGGAGTGGGCGATTTGGGCGGTATCTGTGGATGAGGTTGGTGATGTAGCTGGGGGCAGTGTTGTGGATGGCTTTGTAAGCTGTGGTTAGTATTTTGAATTTTATACGTTGGGTTAGAGGAAGCCAGTGGAGGGATTAGCAGAGAGGGGCAGCAGTTTCTGATCTGTAAGGTGTATGAGTCTAGCAGCAGCATTTATAATAGACTGAAGGGGGGATAGCCTATGTAACAGTAGACCAGTGAGGAGGGAGTTGCAGTAATTGAGGCGGGATATAACCAAGGCAAGGATAAGTTGTTTTGTGGTGTTATTGGTGAGGAAGGGGCGGATTTTGGAAATGTTCCAGAGGTTGAGGCGGCAGGATTTAGCCAGTGAGTGGATGTGGGGCCCAAAGGAGAGGTCAGAGTCTAGGATTACGCCTAGCACCCTGGCATGAGGGGAAGGACCAATGGTTGTGCTGTTGATTTTAATGGTAAAGTCATGGGTGGGGGATCGGGCAGGAGGAAATATTACAAGCTCAGTTTTTGAAAGATTGAGTTTAAGGTAGTGATGTGACATCCATGCTGATATGTCGCTTAGTAGATTTGTAATACGTGAGGAGATTGAGAGGGTGAGCTGGAGAGTGGAGAGATAGATCTGGGTGTCATCAGCATAGAGGTGGTATTGGAAGCCATGGGAGGTTATCAGTTGGCCCAGGGAGGAGGTATAGAGAGAGAAAAGGAGGGCTCCAAGAACAGAACCTTGGGATACCCCAACAGAAAGAGGAAGCAGAGCGGAGGAGGAGGAGTTGTATGTGACACTGAACGTGCGCTGAGAAAGGTAAGAGGAGAACCAGGAGAGAGCAGAGTCACGGAGGCCGATGGAGTGGAATTTACTGAGAAGCAGCGGGTGGTTGACTGTGTCAAAGGCAGCGGAAAGGTCAAGGAGTATGAGTATGGAGTAATGGCCGTTGGTTTTAGCAGTTAGTATGTCATTAGTGAGTTTTAGTAGGGCAGTTTCTGTGGAATGTTGTGGGCGGAAGCCAGACTGTTGGGGATCAAGAAGGTTGTTGTTGGTGAGGTAGCAGGTCATACGGTTGTGAACAAGGCGCTCGAGAAGCTTGGAGGCAAATGGGAGCAGGGAGATGGGTCTTGAGTTATTCAAACAGGTGGGGTCCACGAGGGTTTTTTGAGGATGGGGGTAACCAGTGCATGTTTGAGTGGGGAGGGAAAGGTGCACATGGAGAGTGAAAGGTTGAAGATGTGGGTTAGAGAGTTTAGGATAGAGCAGGAAGGAGGCTGCAACAGTCGTGAGGGGACAGGATACAGGGGACAGGTGGTGAAGTGGGCCTTGGGCCTTGGAAAGAAGTTCAGTAACTTCCTTGGTGGTAACAGGGTCAAAGGAGGAGAGTGTAGAGTTTGGCGTTGGGCCTGGTATGTTGGTTAGAGGAGGAAGCTTGACACTGGAGATCTCATCACGAATTGTGTCGATCTTCTTTTTGAAGTGACTGGCAATCTCCTGTGCAGTAAGTTGGTGGGTGGAGGCAGTGGAGGGTGGACTAAGGAATTAAGGGTAGAGAAGAGTTAACGAGGATTGGATGAGAGGGTCTTGATGAGAGTGTTATATAGTAGGTTTGCTTAGCAGCGTGGAGGCTGGGGTTGTATTTGAGAAGAGCGGATTTGTAGAGGGTAAAGTTTTCCAGGGATTTATTTTTACGCTATGCTCGCTCAAGAGTGCGGCTGTGTCTCTTGAGACTTCTGGTGTCATCTGTTTGCCAGGGTTGTGACAGGCGAGACCTGGTTCTGCGTGTAGAAAGAGGAGCAAGAGCATCCTACAGGTAACGGTTTGCTGGTTGGAGGCATGGGAGGTAGGAGGCAGGGAGAGTGTGAAGCTGATAAAGTTGTGATCAGAGAGAGTAAAAGGGGTGTTAGAGAGGTTACAGGGAGTGCATAGGTGGGTGAATACAAGGTCAAGGGTGTTGCCATTGGAGTGGGTGGAGGATTGTGACCATTGTGTTAGGTTAAAAAAGGAAGTTAGGTTGAGTAGTTGAGAGGTGGCAGGGGTGTGGATGGGATGTTAAAGTCACCGAGGATGATGGCAGGCACCTCAGAGGAGAGAAAGTATGGTAGCCATGCTGAAAAGTCATCGAGAAAGCGTGAAACTGGGCCAGGGGGCCGGTAGATGACAGCGATCCTCAGACAAACAGGAGAAAAGAGACGAATACAGTGCACTTCAAAAGAGCGGAGGGACAGAGACGGAGGGGCAGGAAGAATCTGGAACGTACTTTGTGGGGAAAGAAGAAGTCCGACTCTGCACCCTTTTCAGCCGCTGGGTCTGGGCGAGTGAATCCAGAGGAGGCCGTCATGGGAGAGTGCAGCTGAGGAGACAGGAATCCTGGAGCCAGGTTTCAGTAATAGCAAGAAGGTTGAGGGAGTGGGAGAGGAAGTAGACAGTAGAGAGTTTGTTAGAGGCTGAGCGGGCATTCTAGAGGGCACATAGGAGGGAGGGGTTGGTGCGTGGAAGCAGGGGAATTGAGATGAGAGAGTGAGGGTTGCGGCTGTGGCCATAGAGGGGAGGCTGCTGCTTCTGTGGGTTTGAGTTTGATGGTGGAGGGCCAGGGTTTGGGGCAATGTCTCCAGAAGTTAGTAGTAATAGGAGGGTGAGGGAGGTGAGGTGGGAGCGAGATTTATATGAGGGCAAGACATTACGTGGACCAAGAGAGAGAAGGAGATAAGTGCAGTGATATTGAGAGGGCAGAAGTGAGGGTGATATGTACAGGTTGTGGGGTGGGGAGAAGGGGTAAACAAGAGAGAGTTTGAGAAGAGAGGGCATTATAGCAACAAAGAGGGTTAGCAAGAGCATGCATGCTGGAGAGAGGAGAGATAACAAAGGAAGGCAGACAGAAAGAGGTAAGAGGGAAGAGCACATGCAATCTACTTGAGGTGGAGCACTATTGTTTGTACATGCCTTAGTTAAAGTGCCGTGTTGAAAGTGCGATGTACTTAGCGCCATAATGCATACTTTGCGTAAGGAATGCCA